AAGCGATGAGTTTACGATTTGGATCAGATCAGTAGCAATAACAGGCAGGACTTTCTTAAAGAAATGTGTGGGAAGGACATCCAGACAGCAGGAGCTTGAACTTCATTGACTTATAATTTCTTCTAGAGTTTTATAATTAAGTAGTTGAAAATGGGTCATTTTTTCTGTATTTGTTTGTTTTGGTACAGCAATGGTTCTGGCTTTGAAGTTGATGTGCAGATTAATCCTCTGATTTTTTGGATTTTCTCTGAAAAAAAATCAGAAAACTTGTTACAGGCAACATTAGATTGGAATTCAGGTGGTAACGTCACAGGAGGGTTTGTGAGCCTGTCAACTGTTGCAAATAAAGTTCGAGCATTATTGATGTTTTTCTTTATGACATCTGCAAAGAAAGCCTCCCTTCCATGTTTTAGTGTTAAGTGATAGTTACGTAGTTTTTCTTTGTAGATGTCGTGATGAACGTGAAGTTGAGTTTTACGCCATTGTCGTTCTGCCCTGCGGCAGACTTGTCTTGCAGACCGAACTATTTGTGCATTTCTCCATGGAGATTTCTTTCTACCAGTCAAAACCTTTACTTTAATTGGGGCAATGGAATCAATGATATATGAAACTTTAGACTGAAAATCATCTAACAACTGATCTACATCATTACAGCTTAAGGGTGAGGAGGAAGAGTAGATTTGATTAAATGTTTCTGCTGTTTTCTGTGAAAGAACGTTTTGTGACAGTAGCTGTTTGTCCAAGTGGGTCAAGAATAAAGAACCTTCAAAGATAACAGCAAAGTGATCTGACAGGGCGACATCAGTTACAGAGACATTGGAAATAGTCACACCCTTACTGATAACCAGGTCCAGTGTGTGTCCTTGAGGTGTGTGCTTGTTTAATTGTGTTAAACCAAAATTTTCTAAAATATCAGAGAGCTTTTTTGCTCCTCTGTTTTCGGGTTTGTCCACATGAATGTTGAAATCACCAACAATTATTAAACAATCATAATCAATGCATATGAGAGAAAGAAGATCATTCAAGTCAGTAAAGAAATTTTCCACATATGCTGGAGTTTTGTATAAAGTTAGTGTCAAAGTTCGTTTGAAGCCTTTAACCTGAATTCCAAGACTCAAAAGATGTGAAATGACCGAAAGAGATTTTACTACAGTTTATGGTATTTTTAAATATAGAAGCCACGCCTCCTCCTTTTTTATGTTTTCTATTCTCACTTAAAAAATTGTAGTCAGGAGGCACTGATTCAATGAGTACAATTTGGTCATTATCGTCATTCAACCATGTTTCTGTCAGAAACATAACATCAACATTATACAGTGATGAAATCATTAATTAACAGAGCTTTAGCACAGAGTGATCTGATATTTAAAAGAGCTATTTTAAGTGGCTTGGAGGCCAAAAGATTTTCAGTCTGAGGTTCCTTTAGGCAGGGGATCACTCTGAGGTTTGAATTAGGACCGCTGTATTTCATATTTCTATTTTTGTAAATTTTCTTGTAGTGATCCGACAGGTAATGTCCTGTTCTGCATTTCCAGGGGGCCAGATGCATTCTGGAGGAAGACGGGTGTAAAGATAATATCTGGTCCCCGGCCTCAGACCTCAGAAAACGCAGAGTGATGGATCCTCTGGGAGGTCAGGGGCAGGTGGCTTAAATGTAGTGATGTCTGCTACGTGAGTGCTAAGGAGAGACGTGCCGAGGCGAACCTGTTGATTCATTCCATCTGTAAATTTAAGAAACTCTGGTCCGGAAGACATTTCTTCATTGGTATCCATTGAATCCTGTGAATGCTTGGAGGAGCAGAGAGGGAGGGGGGAAGGAGCGAGGGAAGCAGTCGCTCCGTCTCCAGTCGATTTATCAGCTTGTTTTGGAATATCGTGCTCCTGATCCGGGGAGCGTTCCATCCTGGTCAGACATCCTTGAGCCTGTTCTTCTGACGCGATGATCCTGTTGCTGTCCTTGTTGATAAAATAAAAAAGGTTTGCAGCGAGTAGCTTTATCCCATGTTTATTAAGATTGCGTCTCCTCTTCCAAAAAGGTGAAAGCGCTGCCAATAGATCCAGAGGTTATCGATGAAGGTCACTGAGCTGGTAGAGCAGGCTTTAATCAGCCATTTGTTGATCGTGAGCAGCCTGGAGTGTTTTTCGTCTCCCATTGAGGTGATGGAATTGGACCACTGAGAAATAACTTCATTCTCAGTTTCCCATAGTGTCCAGAAGAATGTTAAAGTCCTTTTTTAGAATCTCAGACTTTTGCTTTGCCAGATCGTTGGCTCCAACATGCAAACTAAAGTCTCAATATCTGGCTGATCAGTGGTTAGAGAGAGCAGTTTGTTGGTTAAATCAGATACAGTGTCACCAGGAAAATACATCACTCTTGTTTTCCTTGGATTGCAAACGTCACTGATTCCCTTTACTGCCTCATCTCCAACAACAAGCACTTTTGGGTTACCTTTAGTTTTCCTGGTGGTCGCTTTGTCCTTGGGAGCTTTGGGGGATGGATGTGTTGGTCTTGCCTCACTGTTGATGTTTGAAGGCGAAGTTTCACTCAGAGGCTCAGGCTGGAGTGCAGAAAATCTGTTTTTCAGTGGGATTCCCACAGAGTCAGAATGTTTTGAGGCTCTTGCTGGTTGCTTTGTCCGTGGGGTCGGTGGAGGCGTTTTAGTTGCAGCTGCTTGTTTGTCTTTCTTTGGCGGAGCAGGTGTTGAAGTTGAAGGTGGGTTTCGGCTCAGAGCCGGCCACGATTCGTCCAGGTGCGGGGTTCTCCCTGATAATCGTCTCATCGGATCCGCAGTGCGAGACTCCCGTTTCGGCTTGGCACCCAGAGCGTTCCAGGGTGAGCTGCTCGGTGCAGGGCGCACGACCTCTCCGTTGATTTGAGGAAGAGTTGTTTCATTTCCACAAGTAGCTTTGATCTCAAAGTTCACCTCCAGTAGTTTAATCTTCATTTCTATAAACTGAAGTCGTTGTAAAATACTGCTCATGTCCTTGGGGTCAGCCGGAGGCATTTTGCCCTGGTTTAACTTGGAGGTAAAGAAAAGTAAGGTGAAAATAAAAGTAAGAAAATCCCCCAGTCCTTAGGTTTGGAAAAATCCAGTTAAGATGTCAATAATGTAAATATAACTATAAAAACTGTCGCCTTAAAATTAAAAAATAATTCACAGGCAGAGTTATCAGTAAGGACGAGAGAGAGCAGGATAAGCTGTTCCTCCTTCGGCAGTCAGAAAATAAATATGAGTAGCCTCAGTAAGGTCTGTTTAATAAGTGTCACATATTCTTAAGAAATAAATTTACAAATGAGAAACTTTTACTGACATGTTTCACACTAGCGAGTGTTACAGAGAAAAATGTATGAGTTTCAAATGTGTTTATACCGGCGTTTACTATTTTGGAGAAAGCATGAAGCTCTGGGAAGATCAGTGTTGATTCAGCAGCAGGAAAAAAAATTGAACGAAAGTAGCATTTACAATGATGCGAGGATAAATTTTGGAAAATTCTGGACAAATTCTTTAACCAAGGAAAGTTAAAAGTCTAATTTGAATAACCTCCCGTTGGCCTGCTTACAAACAGTCACATATTCTTAAGAAGTACATGTACAAATGAGAAACATTTACTGAAATGTATCATACTAGTGAGTGTTACAGAAAAATCTATGAGTTTCAAATGTGTTTAAACCGGCGTTTCCAATAGTTTTCGAATTATGTTATACCGAAAGTAAGACGGACTTCTCACTGATGCTGCAGTTCTGATTCTCTCTGAAGCGTGTGTCGCTCACAGATAACTGAAGGTAATTACTCTTTAGACAAAGAGCGATAAACTGAGAAAAAAAAACAAAAAAAACAGATGTGGCTCTGGTCTGCCCTCATGAACCAGCAGGGTTCATGAGGTCTTGCTCTGAATTCCCCCCGAGGTGGCTAATTTGTCATTCTGTCTGCTGCATCCTGCAAAGTTTGCAAAGTATGCAACTAGTACATTCCTTCTCTCGCAGGCCCTACGTGTTGCAGCTCAGACCTCCAGTTGTAGGCCTGGCTGAACACAGACAGAATCAGAAGCAACATCTCCGGCATCTATTTCAACTTCACTAGGTTTTACTACATAATTATATACATTTTTACTTGGTTAAATACATTTTACTTGGTTAAATACATTTTACTTGGTTAAATAACTGTTGTTGGGGTGCTGTATTACTCTTAAAAAGAAAGTCAGATATACGGCATTTTCTGAATTCAGCAGAGAGAAAACAGAAAAACCTAACACACAGACCATATGTCACTGAGATCTACTGAGAACGACCCCCGAAGGGATTTCACAGGCCGTACCTATATTTGATCAAGCCCCCCAGCTCAGACCCCAGTCGTAGGCCAGGCACAGAATCAGAAGTAACATCTCCATTCCAAATCTATTTAAACTTCAGTAGGCATAGTATATAATTATATACATTTTTCTTGATTAAATAACTGTTGTTGTATTGGTATTACTCTTAAAAAAGAAAAAATCAATAGGAGCTTTCAAGAAAACAAAGAATAATAGATGTCTAAGAAATGTTCATTTAAGGAGGGGTACATCCTGACATCTGGAAGGGAGGGAGGGGGAAGGTGTGTGTGTGTGTGTGTGTGGGTGTGTGTGTGTGTGTGTGTGTGTGTGTGTGTGCGGGTGTGTGTGTGTGTGTGTGTGTGTGTGTGTGTGCGGGGGTGCGTGCGTGCGTGTGTGTGTGTGTGTGTGTGTGTGTGTGTGTGGGGGTGTGTGTGTGTGTGTGTGTGGGTCCGTGCGTGCGCGCGTTTGCGTGCGTGTGTGTGTGTGTGTGTGTGTGTGTGTGTGTGTGTGTGTGTGTGTGTGTGCGGGGGTGTGTGTGTGTGTGTGCGTGCTGGTGTGTGTGCGTGTGTGTGTGGGGGTGTGGGGGTGTGTGTGTGTTTTGGGTGTGTGTGTGTGTGAGGAAGGTATTGGTCAGCTTGCACCGTTTTGCAGGTTTATTCATCGTTCTCATTTTGCTTTCGCAACTGTAGGAATTCATGCTGGTGACGACGTGCTTCTGGAAGACCTCGGCTGCATCGAGAGCGAGGATCAGGACGGCCACAGCCGTCATGGCTTCCTGTGGAGGGAAAAACAATCCAAATGCCTTCAGCTCAAGCGATGCGACCACACAAATATTTTCTTTTTTACTCGCCTGCTTAGATGCGTGGTTGGGTTTGAAAGGTCTTGATTTAGTCATTATTTTCAGCATCAACGTTCACAATATTTTTTCTTGCTGTGACATCTTGGTCTGATTTTCTTCTCTCTCTTTTTGCAGGTGTAGAAGCAGATTTCTCGGGTTTTGATCTGTTGAACCACATTTCAGAAACGACGTCTGTTTTTGACAGTTTAACTTTCAGTAAATAATTTTGCCAGTGTTGAGTTATTTAAGTGTTCGCTGAGGGTTTTATTCAATAACAGAAAGGTACCACCAATTTTGCCCAAGTGTGGCCTTGCCACCTTGTTTTTTTTTCCATTTTGCACAACTTAAACCGAAGCAAAACTGATAAGTGATTCGGCTCTTCCTCGAAGTTGATAGCTGGTGTTTCACCAGAGTGACTGTACTAAATACAACTATACATAAACTAATAATCCATAAAAGCCAATATTTATGATAGTGACTCACTTATCCAAGTTTGGTTTTTTAAAAATCCATGGTCATAATTTTTACATGGGAAAAAAAACAAACTTGATTTTTGTGATATTTTTTTCCTCGTTAAGTATTTTTTTATATTGATATAAAGTGACCAAACTGGCATTTGAAAAATACTTTATTCAAGTCTTGTCTGACAGACACAGAGCTTTTATATTTGGAGTTCTCCCAACTTTTTATAAACAGGACAGGACAAATGAAAAGCACTGTTTTCATTAGAAATACTCAGATTTGCGTAAACAAGCTCCAACATTGTGGAAAATATTTTTATAAGCGATGAAGCTGTAAAGGGTGGGACAGTAACATTAAGCATTTGTTGTAAAAATTGGGAATTATCTCCATTGTAACTAATCTCAAGAAGAGTCTATCATCTTTTTCTAAAATCCAGGATGCAAAAAAAAATTATGGTGTGGAACTTAGTTTAAATATACAAAACCTTTTTACTTGCTGTTAAAAGCCATGAAAACATTTAAGCAAGGAATAAAATCAAATGCAGATATTGAGCAACATTTATCAAACTTGTGGTATTTATAGTAACTGGAGCCAAAGTTGTTACAAAGTGGTTTGGTTGTTTAGTCAACGTACGTTTGAAAAACCTGCTTTGTGATGTGAGTAGAAATTGAAGCACAATGGACGGCTGACTTTGTGGTATTTGTAGAAGTTTGAGGATCAATGCTGCCAGGTGCTTGGTTGGCACAGAGGACAGCGACTGTGTTTCTGTACTGATGTTTGGTGATTCAAGACCTGCATGAGGCGTGGTTTTAAAGTTAAATTTGGAAGACAAAAAGGGTTTTGCAAGTTTGCTTTTGTCAAGTTTTTTCTTGACAAAAGCAGCGCATGATGAAGGTCTTAAGTTTTTTCCTTTAAAGCTGTTGAAACATTCAGTAAATCAAATGTCAGAAAACTATTATTAATCTTCTCATCACACTTCCTGAGCTGGTGAGTTGTTTCTGTGATATGTGTAAGAAGTAATCGTCTTACACATATTATGTCCTGGATACTTTTATAATGATATGATTTAATAATAATAATAATAATACAAAGAAAAAATACATCTATTTAAAAAGATCTATTTTTAACATAAAAAGATGGAAGATATGTGTTTTGCAGCATGTTGTTACATGTTAACTTTTATTATTTCATTTTTTTCCTCTGTTTTTGGATAGTTAATTTGTTTGATTTTTTTTTAATTTTTTTATTATTATTATTTCACTGGTGGGGGCGGGGCTTTGTCAGCCCAAGTGGTTTCAGCTGGGCTCGTGACACACCTGAGGGTGATTGAGTGATGATGACGTTGCAACGGCGTTTGTCGTGGAGTTGGGAACGAGTCAGGGTGAGGTAATCTGCAGTGTGACGTTTTTATTTCTCTTTACAGCTCATATTCACGATCCTAAACAAATCAAAGCAAACATGACATTTAGATCTTAAGTTTTACTAACTAACCCCCTGCTGGGGCAGAAAACCAGGCAGGAAGTGCCATGACAACATGCTGTGTGCTGCCAGCTCTGTTTTGATCCAAGAGGCAACAGTACATTAAAATACATTTCAGTAACGGTTGATATAAATGAGTTTTTATTTTAAGTAAGCTTTTTACCTAACATTGCATTTAAGCTGTAATGTTGAGATGTGCAGAGGGAATTCTAGTTTGTGTTCTGTTGTTTCAATGTGACCCTGTGATGTAGACACATTTCCTTTTCAGGAAAAAAGTTTTACATCCTCTTGAACCACTTTGAGAGATGACAATTTGTGGTTTGAGTTGTCCAATAAAAGTTCAGAGGACAGTTGAGACTCTCTGTTCAGAGCAGCAGCAGATGTTGCATCGACAAGCAGGTCAGATGGACGCGGTGAGAATCAACCTTTTACTGCTTCTGCTGTGTTTTGCATGATGTCTGGACTCTGAAGGTAATGTTAAAGTTCAATATTCTTTGAAATGTTTTACATCTGTTCTAGTTTTTAAAAGATTCCAATATCAGTTTCTTATAAATTCCTGCTTTCAGTGACTCTTGTGAAAACAATCAGGAAAGAATCTGATTTCACTCCAATCTGCATCAACAAAACATCAAACATCATCATATTGATCATTTGAAAAATCAGACCAGAGAGGAACAAAAGAGAGGAGTGCAATCTACGGTATCAGGATGGAGGTGACTTTGTTCATGAGTGTGACTCCAGATTCTCACTAAAAACCAGGAATCAAACTGTTTCTGTACCTGACCAGTTTAACAGCAGCTGATAGTGGGAACTACTCCTGTCAGTGTTGAAATCTTAATGGAACACATTTTCTCCATCTCAGCATCACAGTTAATGGTGAGTGGATCTATGTAAATATTATGTCAAACTCATATGAACCATATATTCTCTAACAATGTTTGTTTTATTTCCAATAGAATCAAATCCTGATAATAATCCAGCAGATGAAGTTTGGAGCCAGTCTGCAGCAGTGACTCTTCCTTCTGCTTTGACTGCTGCAGTTCTCTTTCTCATAGTTTCAGTTATTCTGGGATTTATATACAGAAGACGTTCACATCGGTGAGACACTAATGCAGTATTCATAATTTCATCCTTTGCCTAAATATCAAATTCACAGCTAAAACCGCTGTGAAGTTTGTATCATACAGTGTAGCATAGTCGATGTTTTTTCATGCAGCTGCAGAAAAAAACATCTCGTGAATACCTGAATACTTAAATAGTGAGTGTATTAACATAATCGATAGTCAGAAATGTCTCTGCCGTTTCCTAACCAGCTGCAAATAATTTCCTGTCAACATCATATGTAACTAGAGGAAGTTTCTGATGAATTCTGGGTCAATAAACAGATTGTTTAAGCTCCAATAAAGGAGCAGTGACAGAAACCCAAAAAATCTATATTGCATGTGCTTTACAGAATGACCACAAGACGTCACTGTTTCCATCAGGTCCAACTGCACAATTCTGCTAAATGACCCTGCTTCATCAGGCTGAACATCCACAGTCACTACAGTATGGACAACCAGAAAGCCTCACACTGTTTCTTTTATCTCCAGATAACAAGGACATTGAGCCAGAGACTGCTTCCAGAGACGATTCAAACCACAACCAAGTGGCCGAATATTGCACAGGGGCAGAGGAGGAAGATTTGATGGCAAGCAGGGAAGCTTCCCCAGGTGGTCAAGGTTTTCTTTTCAGAGGTGGATTTACAGGACATCGTGGAGGGTGTTCCACCTGACTATACCAGGTTCTGTTGTAATGCAAATTTTACTGACTTAGAATTTGTATGACGTCCAAAGTTTGTTTGTGTCTGTTTCATGTTGGAGTGAATGATTGTTTACGTGTCATGTTTGTCTACGTGTTCTGTGTTTTTATGCGCATGCGAAGAAGATAAAACCACAATCTTATTTGCAGGATTTCCCAAACATCGGAATGGGACCACCTATGAAACCTGGTATTAGTTTAACAACATGTAATGACAACATGATTAACTTCTGTATTTCTCTTGCAGATCAATTAAAGGCGGTAGGCCCCAGGAGAACGACCCGTGCCACCGGGCTAACAATTACATAACCTACAGCCTGGAGATTTTGTGTTTCTTAAAAATTTCAGGAAGAAGAACTGATGACCACTGAAGGTTTTGATTTTCTTAAATCCACCTGGGTCCTCACTAGCAAATAGCAAGAAGTTCACTGGGATATCGAATCGCCCAGAATCCCACAAAGGGGATTCCAACAAAGTATCCATGAAAAAATAGGGATACCACCGACGGCCCACTCAGTAGGTGGTCTACCTGGCTGAGGCAGCATGGAGAACATAGTCGGAATGGGACATTGCTGCAGAACACACCACGTGGATTAAGGATGCCGTACTTTATAACCCATAACTCTCCTGATGATGAGATTGAGAATGTTTATTTCCAATAGACTCATTTCCTAATAATAATCCAGCAGATGAAGTTTGGAGCCAGTCTGCAGTGACTCTTCCTTCTGCTTTGACTGCTGCAGGTTTCTTGGTTGTCATAGCTTCAGTTATTCTGGGATTTATCTGCAGAAGACGTCCACAACGGTGAGAAACTAATTCAATATTCATAATTTATTCAATTACCGAAATTCAAGATTTATAACTGAAGGTGTAGATTTCAAATTTCGCTTACGATCTTTATCTGCATCTTCAGTATGATTTTTATTTTAAATCTAAACTTTTGTTTCTTTGAACATATTTTCTTAAACTTTACCTCCACATGTTATTAGACCTTAACGTAAATCTGGAGTTTATTTTATTTTTAAAGCGCCTGTCTAAGAGCTGAAACATCCGGATCGTCTGCACAAGGAGAAACTGCTACTGTAGTGAGTAAATTCCTTATTTTATAAGTAACTATTTTCATATTGTCACAAAAAAGACTAGAAAATACATTAAGAACATGTTTTCCTTTTATTCTGTAATAAACTGTCTTAAAACATTACCTCTAATTTTAGATTTTACATCCATTCTTCTAGTGGTGGTTTTTATGACATCCAGTACTACTAGTAACATTACAATCACTAGATGACACAATACTTACTTTTCCTGAATACTTAAATAGTGAGTTTATTAACATAATTGATAGTTAGAAAGGTCCCTCCCGTTTCCTAACCAGCTACACATCATTTCCTGTCAATATCATATGTAACTGGAGGAAGTTTCTGATTAATTCTGGTTCAATAAACAGATTGTTTCAGCTCCAATAAAGGAGTTGTGACAGAAATCCAAAAATATCTTTATTGCATGTGATTTACAGAATGACCACAAGATGGCAGTGTTTCCATCAGGCCCAACTGCACCATTCTGCCAACTGACCCTGTTTCATCAGGCTGCCCTGAACATCCACAGCCAGGATCGTATAGACAGCCAGGACAGTGTGGACAGTCAGAAAACCTGACACCTGCTGATGTTTGTTTTATCTGCAGACATCAAGGACATTGAGCCGGAGACGATTCAAACCACAACCAGGAGGCCGAAGATTGCACAGGAGTCGAGGAGGAAGATTTGATGGCAACCAGGGAAGCTTCCCCAGGGGGTCAAGGCTTTCCTTTCATAGGTGGATTTACAGGACATCATGGAGGGTGTTCCTCCTGACTATACCAGGTTCTGTTGCAATGCAAATTTGACTGACTTTTAATTCTGATGTCGTCCATTGTTTGTCTGTTTCATGTTGGAGTGAATGATTGTTTACGTGTAATGTTTGTCTACGTGTTCTGTGTTTTCATGCGCATGCGAAGAAGATAAAAACACAATCTTATTTGCAGGATTTCCCAAACATCGGAATGGGACCACTGATGACACCTGGAATTATTTGCAACAACATGTAATGACAACATGATTAACTTCTGTATTTCTCTTACAGATCAATTAAAGACTGCAGGCCCAAGGAGGACGACCCGTGCCAGCGGGCAAACAATTACATAACCTACAGCCTGGGGATTTTGTGTTTCTTGAAAATTTCAGGAAGAAGAACTGATGAATGCAGTGAAGGTTGTGGATTTTCTTAAATCATCTGGGTCCTCACCAGCCATTGGCGAGAAGTTCACTGGAAATCGAATCGCCCAGAATCCCACCAAGGGGATTCCAACAACGTATCCCTGAAAAAATAGGGATACCACCGACGGCCCACTCAGTAGGTGGTCTACCTAGCTGAGGCAGCATGGAGAACATGGTCAGGATGGGACATCGCCGCAGAACAACACCTACATGGATTAAGGATGCCGTACTTCATAACCCATAACTCTCCTGATGTTTAGATTGAGAATGTTTGTTTTATTTCCAATAGACTCATTTCCTAATAATAATCCAGCAGATGAAGGTTGGAGCCAGTCTGCAGTGACTCTTCCTTCTGCTTTGACTGCTGCAGGTTTCTTGATGTCATATTTTCAGTTATTCTGGGATTTATCTGCAGAAGACGTCCACAACGGTGAGAAACTAATTCAATATTCATAATTTCTTTTACCTCAATTCAAGCTTAATAATTGAAGCTGCAGATTTCTAATTTTACTTATGATTTTTATCTGCATCTTCAATATGATGGTTTTATTTTAAATCTAAACTTTTGTTTCTATGAAAATATTTTCTTAAACTTTACCTCCAGATGTTATTAATCTTTCATGTAAATCTGGAGTTTATTTCATTTTTAAAGCGCCTGTCTAAGAGCTGAAACATCTGGATCGTCTGCACAAGGAGAAACTCCCACTGTAGTGAGTAAATATCCTTATTTCATAAGTAACTATTTTCAGATTTTCACAAAAAAGACAAAAATACATTAAGAACAGGTTTTCCTTTTATTCTCTAAAAAAAATGTCTGAAGACTTTACGTCTAATTTTAGATTTTACATCCATTCATCTAATGGTGGTTTTTATAATGACATCCAGTACTACTAGTAACATTACAATCACTTGATGGCACAATACTTACTTTTCCTGAATACTTAAATAGTGAGTGTATTAACATAATCGATAGTCAGACACGTCTCTGCTGTTTCCTAACCAGCTGCACATCATTTCCTGTCAATATAATATGTAACTGGAGGAAGTTTCTGATTAATTCTGGTTCAATAAACAGATTGTTTCAGCTCCAATAAAGGAGCAGTGACAGAAATCCAAAAATATCTATATTGCATGTGCTTTACAGAATGACCATAAGATGTCACTGTTTCCATCAGACCCAACTGCACAATTCTTCCAACTGACGCTGCTTCATCAGGCTGAACATCCACAGCCAGGATAGTATGGACAGTATGGACAGTATGGACAGCACGAAAGCCTCAAACTGGCTGACGTTTCTTTTATCTGCAGATAACAAGGACAGTGAGCCAGAGACTGCTTCCAGAGACGATTCAAACCACAACCAAGTGGCCGAAGATTGCACAGGGGCCAAGGAGGAAGATTTGATGGCAAACAGAGAAGCTTCCCCAGGGGGTTAAGGCTTTCCTTTCTGAGGTGGATTCACAGGACATCGTGGAGGGTGTTCCACCTGACTATACCAGGTTCTGTTGTAATGCAAATTTGACTGACTTAGAATTTGTATGACGTCCAATGTTTGTGTCTGTTTCATGTTGGAGTGAATGATTGTTTACGTGTTATGTTTGTCTCAGTGTTCTGTGTTTTCATGCGCATGCGAAGAAGATAAAAACACAATCTTATTTGCAGGATTTCCCAAACATTGGAATGGGACCACCGATGAAACCTGGAATTAGTTTAACAACCTGTAATGACAACATGATTAACTTCTGTATTTCTCTTGCAGATCAATTAAAGGCGGCAGGCCCAAGGAGGACGACCCGTGCCAGCGGGCAAACAATTACATAACCTACAGCCTGGAGATTTTGTGTTTCTTAAAAATTTCAGGAAGAAGAACTGATGACTGCAGTGAAGGTTGTGAATTTTCTGAAATCCACCAGGGTTCTCTCCAGCCATTGGCGAGAAGTTCACTGGAAATCGATTCGCCCAGAATCCCACCAAGGGGTTTCCAACAAAGTATCCCTTAAAAAATAGGGATACCACCGACGGCCCACTCAGTAGGTGGTCTACCTAGCTGAGGCAGCATGGAGAACATGGTCAGGATGGGACATCGCCGCAGAACAACACCTACATGGATTAAGGATGCCATAGTTCATAACCCATAACTCTCCTGATGTTGAGATTGAGGATGTTTTTTATTTCCAATCGACTCATTTCCTAATAATAATCCAGCAGATGAAGTTTGGAGCCAGTCTGCAGTGACTCTTCCTTCTACTTTGACTGCTGCAGGTTTCTTGGTTGTCATAGCTTCAGTTATTCTGGGATTTATCTGCAGAAGACGTCCACAACGGTGAGAAACTAATTCAATATTCATAATTTCTTTTACCTAAATTCAAGCTTTGTAACTGAAGCTACTGATTTTAAATTTCACGTACAGTCTTTATCTGCATCTTCAATATGATTGTTTTATTTTAAATCTAAACTTTTGTTTCTTTGAACATATTTTCTTAAACTTTACCTCCACATGTTATTCTTTCATGTAAATCTGGAGTTTATTTCAGTTTTAAAGTGCCTGTCTAAGACTGAAACATCTGGATCGTCTGCACAAGGAGAAACTGCCACTGTAGTCGGTAATATCCTTATTTTATAAGTAACTATTTTCAGATTGTCACAAAAAAGACAAGAAAATATATTAAGAACATGTTTTCCTTTTATTGTGTAAAAAACTGTCTTAAAACTTTACCTATAATTTTAAATTTTACATCCATTCTTCTAGTGGTTTTCTAGTGGTTTTTATAATGACATCCAGTACTACTAGTAACATTACAATCCCTTGATGGCACAAAACTTACTTTTCCTGAATACTTCAATAGTGAGTGTATTAACAGAAACGATCGTCAGAAACGTCCCTCCCGTTTCCTAACCAGCTGCAAATCATTTCCTGTCAATATCATATGGAACTGGAGGAAGTTTCTGATGAATTCTGGTTCAATAAACAGATTGTTTCAGCTCCAACAAAGGAGCAGTGATTTTAAATTTCACGTACAGTCACGTACAGAAATCCAAAAATATCTATATTGCATGTACTTTACAGAATGACCACAAGATGGCACTTTTTCCATCAGGCACACTGCACAATTCTGCCAACTGACCCTGCTTCATCATGCTGCCCTGAACATCCACAGCCACTACAGTATGGACAGCCAGAAAGCCTCACACTTGATGACGTTTGTTTTATCTGCAGACCTCAAGGACATTGAGCCAGAGACTGCTTCCAGAGATGATTCAAACCACAACCAGGAGGCTGAAGGTTGCACAGGAGTCGAGGAGGAAGATTTGATGGCAACCAGAGAAGCTTCCCCAGTGGGTCTTGGCTTTCCTTTCAGAGGTGGATTTACAGGACATCGTGGAGGGTGTTCCACCTGACTATTCCAGGTTCTGTTGTAATGCAAATTTCACTGACTTTTAATTCTGATGGCGTCCATTTGTTTGTCTGTTTCATGTTGGAGTGAATGATTGTTTACGTGTCATGTTTGTCTACATGTTCTGTGTTTTCATGCGCATGTGAAGAAGATAAAACCACAATCTTATTTGCAGGATTTCCCAAACATCGGCTTGGGACCACCTATGAAACCTGGTATTATTTCAACAACATGTAATGACAACATGATTAACTTCTGTATTTCTCTTACAGATCAATTAAAGACGGCAGTTCCAAGGAGGACGACCCGTGCCAGCGGGCAAACAATTATATAACCTACAGCCTGGAGATTTTGTGTTTCTTAAAAATTTCAGGAAGAAGAATTGATGACCGCAGTTAAGGTTGTGGATTTTCTTATGTCCACCTGGGTCCTCGACAGCCACTGGTGAGAAGTTCACTGGAAATCGAATCGCCCAGAATCCCACTAAGGGGATTCCAACAAAGTATCCCTGAATAAATAGGGATACCACCGACAGCCCACTCAGTAGGTGGTCTACCTAGCTGAGGCAGCATGGAGAACATGGTCGGATGGGACATCGCTGCAGAACAACACCCACGTAGATTAAGGATGCCGTACTTCATAACCCATAACTCTCCTGATATTGAGAATGAGTTTTCGTCTTTGTATCCTTTAGAAGTGTAACATTTTTCCATTTTCTGTTTTTTTGCTTTGCTTAACATCATCAGAAGACAAAACTCTTGCTCAACCCCCTGTGGTCTTTTTATTTCTGGACCATTGCTAAATGACCAATGTAGACTGATGTGTTGTGTTTCTCAACTATCTTCTAGCACTTTTTACTTCATTTGATCATTTCTAGATTTTATTTACTTAGTTATTTGTTTGCTACCCACTAGAAAAAAGGGTTAAGTTGTGAAGTAGATTTTTCTTCAAAGAGAAATGTTTTAGTTGCATCATACAGTGTAACATAGTCTAGATGTTGTTTGTGCAGCTGCAGAGAGGGTGTACATACTAATTGAAGAAGATGTCTCTAGGATCTTGCTGTTTTCCTGTGTTCTTCCCTTCATGGATGGTGTTTAGTTTTCACATCCTGTAGACATGATAGTGAAAGAGCGTACAAGATTCAACTATTCCATCTGTTTTCCTTTGTTTCTTTTGTTTGTTCTTAGAAGATTGAGTCTCCGCCTCTGTCATCAGAGAGGTGAATAAAGCAACGATGCAACTCTGAGTTTGTTAGAGCAGAATGATTTTTGCCTGATGCAGTGTATTTTTGATTTCTGTCTGCAGATGTATTAAAGATCATTTTTGTTCCCTGACGTTTTTCTCTGGACCTCAGTCTCTGAATTGTGCGACTTCACAGTATTTTTTCCATCTCAGTATCACAGTTAATGGTGAGACACTTTTATATCGCTTGAATCAAACTTATATGGTCTGTATATTCTCTAACAATGTTTGTTTTATTTCCAATGGACTCATTTCCTAATAATAATCCGTCAGATGAAGTTTGTGATAGTCAGAAACGTCCCTGCTGTTTCCTAACCAGCTGCACATCATTTCCTGTCCACATCGTATGTAACTGGAGGAAGTTTCTGATTAATTCTGGTTCAATAAACAGATTGTTTCAGCTCCAATAAAGGAGCAGTGACAGAAATCCAAAAATATCTATATTGCATGTGCTTTACAGGATGACCACAAGATGGCACCGTTTCCATCAGGCCCAACTGCACCATTCTGCCAACTGACCCTGCTTCATCAGGCTGCCCTGAATATTCACAGTCAGGACAGCATGGACAGCTTGAACAGGATGGACAACCAGGACAGTATTGACAGCCAGAAAGCCACACACTTGCTTATGTTTGTTTTATCTGCAGACAACAAGGACATTGAGCCAGAGACTGCTTCCAGAGACGATTCAAACCACAACCAGGTGGCCAAAGGTTGCACAAGGGCCGAGGAGGAAGATTTGATGGCAACTAGGGAAGCTTCCCTAGGGGGTCAAGGCTTTCGTTTCAGAGGTGGATTTACAGGAAATCGTGGAGGGTGTTCCACCTGACTATACCAGGTTCTGTTGTAATGCAAATTTGACTGACTTTTAATTCTGATGTCGTCCATTGTTTGTCTGTTTTCATGTTGGAGTGAATGATTGTTACATGTAATGTTTGTCTCAGTGTTCTGTGTTTTCATGCGCATGCGAAGAAGATAAAAGCACAATCTTATATGCAGGATTTTCCAAACATCGGATTGGGACCACCGATGAAACCTGGTATTATTTCAACAACATGTAATGACAACATGATTAACTTCTGTATTTCTCTTACAGATCAATTAAAGACGGCAGGCCCAAGGAGGACAACCATGCCAGCGGGCAAACAATTATATAACCTACAGCCTGGAGATTTTGTGTTTCTTAAAAATTTCAGGAAGAAGAACTGATGACCCCAGTGAAGGTTGTGGATTTTCTTCAATCCACCTGGATCCTCGCCAGCCATTGGCGAGAAGTTCACTGGGAAATCGAATCGCCCAGAATCCCACCACGGGGATTCCAACAAAGTATCCCTGAAAAAATAGGGATACCCACCAACGGCCCACTCAGTAGGTGGTCTACCTAGCTGAGGCAGCATGGAGAACATGGTCGGGATGGTACATCGCCGCAGAAAAACACCCACATGGATTAAGGATGCCGTACTTCATAACCATAACTCTCCTCGTGTTGAGATTGAGAATGTTTTTTTTATTTCCAATAGACTCATTTCCTAATAATACTCCAGCAGATGAAGTTTGAGCCAGTCTGCAGTGACTCTTCCTTCTGCTTTGACTGCTGCAGGTTCCTTTGTTGTCATATTTCAGATATTCTGGGATTTATCTGCAGAAGATGTCCACAACGGTGAGAAACTAAGTCAATATTCATAATTTGTTTTACCTCAATTCAAGCTTTATAACTGAAGCTGCAGATTTCAAAGTTCACTTACGATCTTTATCTGCATCTTCAATATGATTGTTTTATTTTAAATCTAAACTTTGTTTCTATGAAAATATTTTCTTAAACTTTACCTCCACATGTTATTAAACTTTCACGTAAATCTGGAGTTTATTTTATTTTTAAAGTGCCTGTCTAAAAGCTGAAACATCCAGATCGTCTGCACAAGGAGAAACTGCCACTGTAGTGAGTAAATATTCTTATTTAATAAGTAACTATTTTCAGATTTCCTCCCCCCCAAAAAACAAGAAAATACATTAAGAACATGTTTTCCTTTTATTGTGTAAAAGCTGTCACAAAACTTTTTCTCTAATTTTAGATTTTACATCAATTCTTCTAGTGGTGGTTTTTATAATGACACCAGTACTACAAGTAACATTACAATCACTAGATGGACTAGCAGGACGCTATGGATAGTATGGACAGTCAGAAAGCGCGACACTGGCTGATGTTTGTTTTATCTGCAGACAACAAGGACATTGAGCCAGAGACTGCTTCCAGAGACGATTCAAACCACAACCAGGTGGGTGAAGGTTGCACAGGGGCTGAGGAGGAAGATTTGATGGCAACCAGGGAAGCTTCCCCAGGGGGTCAATGTTTTCCTTTCTGAGGTGGATTTACAGGACATCATGGAGGGTGTTCCACCAGGTTCTGTTGTAATGCAAATTTGACTCTGAATTCTGATGGCGTCCGTTTGTTTGTCTGTTCATGTTGGAGTGTGAATGATTGTTTATGTGTCATTTTGTCTCAGTGTTCTGTGTTTTCATGCGCATGCGAAGAAGATAAATCACAATCTTATTTGCAGGATTTCCCAAACATCGGAAAGGGATGTTTCCAGGTTTCATTAACCTGAAATTATTTCAACATGTAATGACAACATGATTAACTTCTGTATTTCTCTTGTAGATCAATTAAAGACTGCAGGCCCAAGGAGAACGACCCGTGCCAGCGGGCAAACAATTACATAACCTACAGCCTGGAGATTTTGTGTTTCTTAAAATTTTCAGAAAGAAGAACTGATGACCGCAGTGAAGGTTGTTGATTTTCTTAAATCCACCTGGGTCCTCACCAGCCACTGGCGAGAAGTTCACTGGGAAATCGAATCGCCCAGAATCCCACCAAGGGGATTCCAACAAAGTATCTCTGAAAAAATAGGGATACCACCGACGGGCCCACTCAGTAGGTGGTCTACCTAGCTGAGGCAGCATGGAGAACATGGTCGGGATGGGACATCGCCGCAGAACAACACCACCTGGATTAAGGATGCCGTACTTCATAACCCATAACTCTCCTGATGTTTAGATTGAGTTTTCGTCTTTGTATTCTTTAGAAGTTCAACATTTTCCATTTTCTGGTTTTTGCTTTGCTTAACATCATCAGAAGACAAAACTCTTGCTAAAACTCCTGTGATGCTTTTATTCTGGACCATTGCTAAATGACCAATGTAGACTGATGTGTTGTTTCTCTTCTAGCACTTTTTACTTCATTTTATACTTCATTTGATCATTTCTAGGTTTTATTACTTAGTTATTTGTTTGCTACCCACTAGAAAAAAAGGGTGAAGTTGTGAAGTAGATTTTAATTTCCAGAGAAAATCTTTTATTTGCATCATACAGTGTAGCATAGTCGAGATGTTTTTTCATGCAGCTGCAGAGAGGGTGTACAAAGTAATTGAACAAGATGTGTCTGGGAACTTGCTGTTTTTCCAATGATTTTTTCTGATGCAGTGTATTTTTGCTCTCTGTCTGCAGATGTATTAAAGATTGTTTTTGCTCCCTGAAGTTTGTCTGGACCTCAGTCTCTTCACAGTATTTTTTCCATCTCAGCACCACAGTTAATGGTGAGACACTTTTATTTCGATTTAATCAAACTTATATGGTCTCTATTTTCTCGAAAAGTCTTTGTTTTATTTCCAATAGACTCATTTCCCAATAATAATCCCTCAGATGAAGTTTGTGATATTCAGAAATGTCCCTGCTGTTTCCTAACCAGCTGCACAAAATTTTCTGTCAACATCATATGTAACTGGAGGAAGTTTCTGATTAATTCTGGTTCAATAACAGATTGTTTCAGCTCCAATAAAGGAGCAGTGACAGAAATCCAAAAATATCTTTATTGCATGTCACTAGTGCGCATAGGGAGAGAACCTTTTAATTTAGGAACCGAACTGCACTGTATGCAAACAATGATCTTGTGTGATTTTAAACAATTCAAAAGTGAAGAAGGAAAAAATAACTAAATAATTAATGTGTCTATTTAATCCTATCTTTTATGAAGCAGTTCTTCAAACGTCTTGATTTTTTCCTCATTAAGTATTGTTTTATATTGATATTAAGTGACCAAACTGCAGTGTTTATAGTACGAATTAAAAATAATTCACTACATTTCTTAAGTATATTTTGGAGTACTTCATACTTTCCTCGAGTATTAAAACTTTGATAACTTTCACTTTTACTTCACTATATGTCCGAACTGAATTGCATACTTTTTACTCAGATACATTTTCAATGTGTGGTTTAGTTACTTGTTACAAAAAAGAGAGAGAGAAAAGCAAATGTTTTGACCCCACCTACTGATTTACTGCAACACAGCCAGCTTGCCTGGTTTTGTTCATCACCACCAATAGGATGCACAGGCTTCACACCTCCCCACCTACGTCAAAAAATCCACCAAATCGCCTTATTGGTTAGTGCTCCATTTGTGCAGGTTTGCGCTGTTAAAACAAACGCAGCAAAGTTGTTTTCAATTTGGATTTTTGCTATTCCAATATCTGGTGTGAGCGGTCCCTTGCTCAAGGTTGATCTGATTCATGAACGCTAATTTCAGCCAGCTGTTCTCTAGATCTCCCCCTTCCTCAAGCTCTCGGAGTTTCACTCAGGGAGAGTCAACAAATTTTACATCCAAACTCTCCTGAGAAACTAATGTAAATAGATTTCTTGTCTTGTGACAAACTGACAAAATTCATGCTGTTACACTGTTGTGAATTTTTAGTCATACTCAATATTTTCAGTAATTGTAGTCTTAAAAAGTGTATATGTTTTGGATGGCCTAAAAAAGTTTTTTTAAGATCTCGAAAACCAAAGCTGCACAAACGAAAATTTTAACGGCACAAACGGAGCACTGACCAATTAGACTTTTTGCTGGATTACTTGAGTCGGTGGGTGTCAGCTTCACGGAGGTCTGTTACCTTTCTCCCATTAAACACAAAGTTTTAAAAAAAGCTCTCCCTCTTCAGATGCCAAATAAGCTGCATTTCCCTCCCAATTCTCTTTTCTTTGGCATAATGACCAGTTGTGTGCACCTATTGTTTGTGAGTAGAGTAATTGTAACGGCTTTTTTTCTTCATGTTGGCCGCATTTTGGCCACTATTGAGTTTTCTCATTTTCAGCACTGACCTTACTGAAAGGGAAAACTTAAGGTGTACAAAAACTTTGTATTTTCTGTCCTGGAGAAGCTGGTTCAGTTGTAAAGCAGGTTAAGTTAACCTTGTGGTATAGGTAAAACACCTAATTTTCTTAATTAAATGATGCCTTCAGGTATATCTTTTAGCAGGTTGTACACTTGGTTGTGTACATTATTGTAAGTGTATTTGACAAGTTTACCAAAATATAAAATATGTCATTCAAACTGCATTTGCCTTGTTTTACTTTTTACTTTTACTTTTCATTACATTACTTGAGTACATCCATTTTTACAGTAATTTCCATAGTTAAGTACAAGATGTTTCAGATACTTTAATACTTTAACTCAAGTAACATTTCAGTCAGTGACTTGGACTTTTACCATGAGGTACCTATACTTTAACTTGACTCTGAGATTTCAGTACTTTATACAACACTGCCAAACTGGCATTTGAAAAATACTGGATTCAAGTTTTGCTTCTGACAGACACAGAGCTTTTTATTTGGAGTTCTCCCAACTTTTTTATAGTCAGGACAGGACAAATTAAATGTACTGTCTTCATTAGAAATAGTCAGATTAAAACACACAAACTTCATCATACTCAGTCAAAATTAAGGCCTACTTCTGCTTAAGTAAGTTTTTTTTAAAAATCATTTTATTTTTTACTCTGGGTATGTAAGTAATCAATCAATCAATGAATGCCTGTTTGTTCTCAGTGCAGGAGATGGAACCCAAATATCGCTTCACCAACCTGCTTTTACGACGACGTTTCATAGAAGTGAAGATGCCGCATCCAAGCATGACTGACCCATTACTGGAGCCCTTCATCGTGTTGCTGATGGATCCAACATAAATAATCTACAAATCAATGTTGCAGACCTTTGCCATATTGAATATTTTTTGTATGTTTGTCATGTTGAAAGACCCAAGGTTTGTGGTAACTATAATGTGTACAAGATCCTCTGCATGTTTGTTTGTAACTCTGAACATGTAAAGTAAGTAACCATGAAACCAGGCCGTACATGTCAAAATGAACAGCAGAATAGTATTGTACACACATGTTCACACAATAGCTTCCAATTTTTTGTGAACATAAGAGGAAAAACAAAAAGTAATTTGTTGTTTAGGAATGGTGCAATATAAACATGAGCATACTTAAGGCAGGGATAGAACTTTTACATTTTTCCAGTGGAAATTATCTTAATGAAGAAAAATATTTTAAGTTGGAGCACCTGGATTACCAGGTGCTTGGCTGGTGCAGTAGCTTCCATATTTGCCAATCACCTAAAAATACTTTATTCAAGTCTTTTCTGATAGACACGGAGCTTTTATATTTGGAGTTCTCCCAACTTTTTTTATAAACGGGATAGGACAAATAAAAAGCACTGTTTTCATTAGAAATACTCAAATTTGCATGAACAAACTCGAACATTGTGGAAAATGTTTTCATAAGCGATGAAGCTGTAAAGGGTGGGACAGTGACGTTGAGCATTTGTTGTAAAAATTGGGAATTATCTCCATTGTAACTAATCTCAAGAAGAGTATTATTATTTTTTTAAATGCAGGATGGAAAAAAAATTATGGTGTGGAACTTTGTTTAAATATACAAAACCTTTTTACTTGCTGTTAAAAGCCAAGAAAACATTTCAGCAAGGAATGTTTTCAAACATGTGGTATTTGGAGTAACTGGAGCCAAAGTTGTTACTGGTTTGGTTGTTTGGTCAATGTGTGTCAAAAAAAATTTGTGAAGAAATTGAAGTGTCATGGTGGTCAGGTGCTTGGTTAGCACAGTGGATAGACTGTGTTTCAGTCTCAGTGGTTCTTAGTTCAAGACCTGCTTAACGTAGGGTTTTAAACTTTAACACGCGAGACTGACTTTGTGGTATTTGTAGAAGTTTGAGCGGCAAGGTGTCAGGTGCATGGTTAGTAAACGGCATACAAACTTGGTTTTGGTTCCGATGGTTTTTAGTTCAAGACCTGCTTGATCCATGGTTTTAAACTTTAACACACAAGACTGACTTTGTGGTATTTGTAGAAGTTCGAGTGGCAAGGTTGGTAGGTGCTTGGTTAGCTCACTGCATACAAACTGGATTTTGGTTCCACAGGTTCTTAGTTCAAGACCCAAGTAAGGCATGGTTTTAAACATTAATATGGAAGAATGACTTTGTGGTATTTGTAGAAGTTGGAGCGGCAAGGTTGACAGGTGCTTGATTAGCTCACTGCATACAAACTTGGCTTTTGTTCACATGGTTTTTAGTTCAAGACCTGTTTCATCCATGGTTTTAAACTTTAACAC